ACTTTTCCACAACATTCTAATTTATTGAGATGCACCTGTATATCACATACATTTTAGTGATCGATAAACCTGGTTATTCCAAAGGTTTAGGTCCAGATTAATATTTCATATTTGTGGCTAGCACACAAGAGTTACAAATAAAGTCAAAATACATGTACAATTATGTTCTTATATCCATGCAAAGACGTTTTCTCAAAATGACTAGTGTAAAATTGCTCAGTCTTTAAAGCTGCACCATGTAACTACACAATGTCTTTACTCAAATACACTTTGATAAACTAGTAATAATTATCTATATTGCAGAGCTGTCAAGTCAAGACAGAGTTTACAGAAAATCAGAGAAAAGTTGCTTCAGCTATGTAGTGTGAATTTGAATGTTTGGTGTCCCAACAAACTAGAAAAACTGACCATGAATCATTCAAAATGATAAAAAATTATTTATTTGTCCATCCATTCTGATTGCTGGTGTGTATCGGTGTACGCCGGTACCGGCCTACCAAAATGCATGCAGGTTTATTTTTTAACCACCATAACTATGAAATTTATTAGTTACAAAGTGTAGCTTTAAGTTGTGCGTACATATGTGTCTTTGTTTCACAGAACGAGGTGTTGATGATACAGAAAGGCAAAGGCAGTATGTCGTGGATTATGGTATCTTCCTGCAGGTCGTATGGAAGATGGTGAAAGTATTGAAGAAGCCCTAAAGAGAGAGGTGAAAGAGGAGCCGGGAATAGACCGCAAGCCAATCACATTGCTGCAGATTCAAGAAAAAGGGCCAAGCTGGATCCGCTTTGCTTTTCTGGCTGAGAAAATAGGTTAGATATGTAAACGTTTCACAACTTGCTTGTTAATGAAAGTATCTAATTTGTCACACAGTTGCTTATTGGTTCTCTCATTGCCTCTTCCATCCACCAGGAGGCTCTCTGAAGAGGCCAGAGGATGCAAACGCCGACTCGCAGCAAGCTCAGTGGTACGATCACGAATCTCTTGCCTAAAAATATATCTGTAAA